AGTAACTGAAAAGAAACCAGAAGCAGCATCTGAGGGAGTAGCTGAGAAAAAACCAGAAGAAGCGGCTTCTGAAGGAGTAGCTGAAAAGAAACCAGAAGAAGCAGCGTCTGAAGGAGTAGCTGAAAAGAAACCAGAAGAAGCAGCGTCTGAGGGAGCAGCTGAGAAGAAACCAGAAGAAGCAGCTTCTGAGGGTGTGAGTGAAAAGAAACCAGAAGAAAGCGCTGATGGAATGCCGATGCAGGCTGAAAAATCGTCCGACTCACAGGATAAGTCGGAAAGTGCGGTTAAAGAAGAATCTAGTTTGTCTACTTCAGAACCTAAAGAACAGAAAGAGCCCACAGAAGAAAAGATTAATGTTAACGATGGCAAAGTCAATGCTGATTCAGCTAAGGAAGGAGCAGGTGCCGAAGCTACAGTATCAACGGCAGCTCCGAAAGAAACAAATGACAAAGTTCTTCAAAAAGGAGACAAAGTGGAGACATCAAACGTACTCGTCACACATTTCAAAGGAGCAAGTTCAACCTGCAGCAGCAGTGAATTAAAAACTCTCATGCAAAAGGTACTTTTTTTTCCTGCAAGACAAAATAATTTTCAAACTATGACGACTGATGTTTTTGAATGTTTCGCAAAATTAACTAACTGGCGTCCATATATTACATCAAAGTTTATATCCGGGATCTAAAATCAGCATATTTATATAATGTAATACAAAAGACAAATTTTTTTCTTTAAAAAAATCAGAAAAACTTCCCAATTTTGCTCCATATTAACTTCTAAACACAAAACTGTTCAGCCTAGATCATTGTCCAAGTCATAACTATAAAACTGCATTTTTAGACACTGACAAACGACATTGAAACATCGAAGTCGGCGATGTACGATGCACTTCATCAGTACGCTCCAAACGCTGGTTTCCTCATCTTCTGCTCAGAAGGCCGCTTTTCCTTCAAGGCTGATGCACTGGAGCATTGCCTTGTTGGGAACGATAAATTCAATTGTTATGCGTTTCGTGCTTAAAAAAACTAACCCAGTTAGTTTTAGTTAATTTAATTTAGGCAACTTTAAAAAAATTGCAGTTTTTTTTCTTCATCAGTACGGTGACTAGTGAGGCCCTTTTTTTGTTCTCTAACCCAATTTTCTTTCCGCTGTGCAATTAGGCCACTGAAAAGGTTATTAAGTTAGTGAGCTCCTAACCACGTAAATTAGATCAAAAGTACATTACGTAGGGGACTTACGATCCTATTGTAAGAGAATGAAAAAAAAAAAATTCTGTAAGATACGGAAATGGTTACGTGATCTTTGATTGTTCAGTCACCCAAATAAAGATCTCGGTATCCAGAACTGTTGATCACAAGATATTTACAAAAGTACACAAAACGTGCTAAGCACATAGAACTCTCAACAGATGTCATTCAATCAGGTGTGACGTTTAGAAAATGGTGATTAAATCTCAAAAATTACTTTTTGATACATCAATTGTTGTTCTTACTGATACCTCTCCAATCAAAGCAATAAGCTGCTATGCCAAAGTAGTCTGTATAAATATTTCGAATCAGAAAAATGTCAGTCGAAACAAATGCAAAAAGGTTGAGTAGTGCGCAACTAACACTATAATGGAACTCTTTATAAAACAAAACTGTTCAGAAAATAAAAAGAAGTTTCCCTTTAATCACCGAGAAGACGTGATAACAGTGTAAGGCGAAAATTCCGTTGCGAATAATCCTTTTTTTTTTTTTTTTTGCCAAAAATTAAATGCACGCAAAATATGCTCAAGGTTTTCTGTGTGCTGCTCGATAATTGTGTTGTTGCTTATTGTTCATCTGCTTTTTTCATCCGCTAAAATGGCATCCAATACAAAAAATTTTCTATAAATGTTGGTGCTTCATGAGTCCTCTTGGCTTTAGCAGTAAAAGAAGATGAGAAATTAATTTTCCATTGAAAAAGTCATCAGATTTTTTAATTTTGAAGCACTTCTCCAGACCACAGAAGGATACAATTCCGTTTGTGCTTTTTAATTTGTCTTTTAAAAAGATAAATTTTTTTTTTCTGCTGCAAAAGTAACAGCAACACCAGTACCAATCTCCAAGATATAAACAAGTTTTTGCTTTAAAAACCACAACAAGAATAACAACACTAAAAGAAGAAAAAAAAAAAAAAAAAAAAGGATAAACTGGTTGTCATCTGCGCTTAAAACTAAAAGACAAAAATAAACAAAGTTTTTTTCCAAAGTCAAAGCGCATTTTCAGCAGTCGAAAAACAAGCAAATACAAACAGTTCTTCACACTGACAGTGCGTAAAACATAATAATGTTAATCCTGAAGAATGACTATAGTTGAAGGGCTTTACAGACGGAAGTGAGATAAAATAGAATGCAGTAAAAATTCAGATGAACTGTGATGTTGGCAGAGTGCCAATTTAATTTTTTATGTTTACTGGAAACAAGCCGACTAGCGGTAAAGCTGTTGCAGTCCGTTTAAAGTGGTCATCCTGTAGAAAGAGGCTCCAAGTATTCCCCAATAGGGCCTTACTGTTGTTGTTAACTTTGCTTTTTTTTCAATATAGGTAAATAAACCTATGCGCTTCAAACCCTTTTTGCTTTTCAGGAGATTCTGTTTTCTAAATAATCTTGTGGAAATTTTAAACAGCTGCTCTCCTATATATTTTTTCAATATCACTCGTAGTTTATTATAGTAAAAAAACTTACCTTTTATTTGAGGTTGTTTCCAGTTGATTAACCAATGGCGAAGAACGTGGAGAATACCAACTACAGGAAGCTAGATGTGGACGCTTATGATCCAGAAAAATTTGAGGATAATGAAGAGATGGAAAGTGCTAGTGAGGGACCTGATGAAAAGCAAGTAAACCAGTATATTCAAAGTGCAAGACTTCAAGACGCCTTGAAAGCTGCACTAGTCAATCCACCTCTGAAGACTAAAAACCAGGTTATCTTTTAGATGGTGGCTGGTTACAAATAAAGAATTATTTGTAAAACAAGTATGCGATGTTTGGAATGTTGCGGATAGTGAAAATACTTTTTTTCACATTTCTACAAATACGCTCATATTCCTGACTTCGGAACCAGAAGTTTAACAGTAGCTGCTGCTTATTATCTTTGCTGCGTGTTCACTAAATTCTTTCGATTTAGATGGTAAAGGATCGTGCGACAGCTCTTGTAACGAAAGTGTTAACTAGTTTCAAGAACGCCGATATGGAACCTGCCATTAAAACTTTATCGGACGACGAGGTAGACCTCCTTATGAAATATGTTTATAAAGCAATGGATACCCAGGCAGAAAGCAGCAATTGTCAGTATTTACTTTCTTGGCATGCACAGGTAGTTGCGCTCCCTTTTCTTCATGCTTTTTTTTAAATCCCCTCCTGTAAATTCCTTACGTTCGAGATGGCTAAAAACAGAGTCTAGTTCTCAGAATGTCTAGATAAATCCCAATGAAGCACCGTTACTTTAGTTGGAACAAATTTATTCTGAGCGAGTTTATATCAAATTCGATGTTAATTTAAAATTTTTCAGTCTTTTAGATTCTTTGACTCGGATTTACTCCTTTTCAGCTAATGGCGCGCGGCGGGCATGGTTGCATTATCAGAACGATTTCTGACAGACACCGGCTGTGATTTATGCGTCCTTCACATTTCGTCACCTCTCTTTTTCTTTGTGCAATTCCGGACTTGTTAGTAAGGTTTTATGACCATGTAAACTTCTTTTTTCTCTGAAAGTTATCTGGAATTGATTCGAGTAAGACTGTCCCCAATTTATTAAAAGAATCCGGTTTAAAGGGTGCAGTTGCGTATTTCACTTATGAAGCACTGGAACTGTGTCTTTGAAATTCAGTAGTTCTGTTTCATTTAAAGTAATTTAAAGATTAGCCGTCAAAGGCCTGTGTATTTTTAGCTTTGTTATTCATGTATGAAAGTATTAAATCCTCCGTTACTTTACCAAACTTGTTCTCTAAAATCTGTTAAGAACAAACTTCCCACTTGCAGTACAATGTTTGTACTGAGAGAAACAAATCAAGTCGCAATACACAATTTCTTGGAAAAATAATTATATTCATTTCCCAGCGAGACTTCACTTCTACAATTTTGAAGAAAAACTTCTAGTTGCAAAAACACTGAGGGTCTGTTCTTCTCAGAAAGTGAAGGTTTTCAAAATGACAAGAGATCATGTTTCCCGAATAAGTCTTTCATAAAACTGTTGTCATTTAAAACTACAACAATTACTTCAGCCTGGGAACTGAGGTAAATCATGTTTTTTCAATGGACGGCACAATGAAGAGAATAGCAGGTACTGGGCGCACTGCAAGAGGAGGAAAACAACCACCGACGTAAGCATGCTTATCACGTAATGGCTAATACTCATTCCTATCTCAAGCCAGCTGCCGTCGTCTACTAGCCGGAAAAAAAATACCTGCAATTAAAAACAACTTTGTCTGTGAGCATGAGTCAACTAGCGCAATAAATTTGGAAGGTATTTTTCATAAATCGACGGTTTGAGAAGCCGAGAGACCAAGTACCTATTTTTGTTAACTACTTACCACCGCCATGGCGTCGGTAATAATAAGTAGAATTATCGACAGCCTAACAGGACTAGCTTTTTGAGCATGTAAAACAACCGTCAGCGCAAAGCTGATCGCCAAGAACGGAAGAGTGACTTTAAATATTAGGAGAGCAGTCATAACGAACGGTGAGAACACGCTCAAGAAACAGCGCAAAAAGGATGGGTTGAAACTGTTTAGAGAAGCAACATTCCCTGTCCCGAAAAAGCCGATCTCAATGAATATGGCTGTTAAAATTGAGCGGCCCCAAAGAGTTAAGGAGCTTTCGTCGCTAACATCTGCAAAAAAAAATACAAATTTCACCTAGACTGTTCAAAGGCCCACTTTGAATACTACACATTTAAAGCGCATTTTTCTTGACAAAGATAACAACTTTACCTGAAGCCTTGTTGGAATTTCGTTCTTTGAGGATAGGAAATTCCCAAAATTGCCTGTCTGACAAACGGATCATGTCTGTTCTCACATACACAATGAGCAGACCGTAGAATAAGAGCAAAAAGAATGATTCATAGGAAAGGCTTAGTAAGGCATATGGAATATAGAGGGACGAGAACCAACAGATCAAACGCCCAATAAGCAAGTTTGGTGCCGTTAATGGTAAAACGAATGAAGCGGGCAAAGAGATCCAACAGAAGATACGCAAAAGTAAAAGGATTGGCTGAAATGGATCAGTCAGTCGGGATTAAATTGCTTCTCCAAACTGAAATGGAGCAGAAATAATTTAAGAAGATCTGATTGAAGGTATTACCTTACTAAGGTCTCCATAAAGCTCGGTAATGGCAATCGTGACAGCAACGAGAAAGTGAATAACAGATAAAATCCGAAGAGTTCTTGCTATAAGCAAGAAATACGGCTTGGAAGATATGAAAAAAAGGCAGATGCAACTAATAACAGGAGACGAAATACAAAGTAACGGAGATGGACTTTGCCCAACTGCCGGGAGCTGTGGAAACGTTGCTAGAATTAGGCAGAGAACAAACCATGCTTTTCGCCTAAAACGATACTCACTTTGTCAAAGAACACTGTTTAGGATGTAAACATCCTTCATAGAAATCTAATAGAGTTAAAACCCAACCAAACTTTTAAGGCTCCATGAGACCCGAATTTGGTAAATGAGTAAAATGACAGGAAGATTAGAACTAAAGAAAGGGCGGAACGATTGGCAAAAACGGCTGTCAATATGAACAGTAGAGGACCTAAAAGTATGTTTTCTATTGCATGTTCTTTTAACACAATGTTATTTCAAAAATGCAAACTATTAAGAAGCAAGAAAAGAAAGTACCACCACATCACCTGATGCAAGGAATATTCCAAGACGTCCTACAGTTTTCCTCAATATTTCTCTGTCCAGCGCCGCCTGGTTTGCATAATAAAAACTCTTTATCCTGTCCCTCCAAGACGAACTTGGAGCAAGAGACTCATTTATATTTAGTGCAACGCTTGCTAGATAAATAGGCAGAAGAATGTATAGACTGTGGGAAAACGGTAAAGAAAGAAAAAATAATATGGAGGAAACTCCTAGTAATACACAAGTAGAAATGGGAGTCGGTACAAAGAGAGCACTGTTATGGTCCAATGAGTTCCATCTGCAAGAATCAAGAGTGGGTGACAAAGTTGGACCAAAATCTTCAAAAAGTATTAATAAAACCAACCGGAAACTGTACAAATAGAGTATTATAGCCCAAAAAGTAAAAGAGAGAGTTGTAGCAAAACCAAGCGTAGAACGCTCGTAACGGTGAAAGTAAAGTAACCCAGCCCGTGCATAAGGAATCCAGTGCAAGCAAGTAAGGAAAGCTGCTTCGTATCTGGAAGAGGAATAATATCAACAACAATCTGAACAGAATAGCTTCCATAAAACTGATATGAATTAATTATGTTGGCAAAAATATCAACCTTCCACGATCAGTAAACCCACGGATTTCTTTCTCTACATTAGTAATTCTTTCTGGAGTCAGCACGTCAAATTCTCTAAAGAATAACGAAAAAGAGTGGCTCTTTTTCTCTGACCTTTTAAGAACAAACTGGTCGAGAATCTGCAAATGACCTATTGAAACAAATTTAATATTGGGACGATGCCACTAGTCTTCTGTTCAGAAACAAAAATCACCTGTTTAAAATTTGCGTAACTTGATTGAAAGATGTACTTGGCGTTTGCATCCAAACATTCGTGAGGCAAAACTCCGACATTGTTCATAGGAATTGCTACTCCTAATAATGCGGCCATAAGTGGAGTTGTATCAACCTGGAAAACAAATGTATGCTGGAAGCCTCAACAGCTTAAAAAATATTTCAGAGATTTCTAAACCTGGTTGATGGCCATTTTTTTCGGAAGATTTTTAACACCAGCTCCCCAGAACACAAAGGGAGTTAGAACCTCAGCATCTGTTCCTGCACCATGCGAACCCCAGTCTGTCATTCCATGATCCGACACGAAAATGTAGGCAGTTCTAAAGAAGATGTAATACAGTAAATAAAGACAGACTAAGTAGTTCTGCAAATATCAAAGCATTTATACACAGTAATTGGCTACGTATTCATATGTATATTTTTGCCGCACAAACTGGAAACTTCCCGATAAACCGTAGCAGAATTACCATACAGCCAATTATCGTAGAACTTAATCGCAACGCAAAAGCCATATTATGACGCACCTGTTATCTCGGAAAAAACCTTCAAATAAATGTTCTACTTTCTCCAATCCCTCATCCACTATCCTTATGTTATCGATGTACTTGTCCGAATGAGGCTTATATCCATGTCCGTTTGTATCCAAGCCAAGAAGATGTAAAAAAAATACAGCTTTATCCAAAAAAATTCTTTGATCCTGAATGTTTTGAACGAAATCCTAAATTTATTTAATCGTTTGAAGAATCATAGTTGAGTTAAGTGAATTAAGCACTTAGTTACGTTAAACAAGTATGCTCATTATTGAAAAGTGACACAAGAAAATATGACTTATGATACCTCAACTTTCTTAAATACCCAACGATCGAGTTCTGCTGCGTCCAAAGAATAGAAGTCTTCTAGATGCGACGGATAAACAAATGCAGAAGCATGCTTAACATTTTTTGTAAACATTGGTACAATATCTGGACTGCCCCATGCCCATGCAGCATAAGATCTTAAAATCAAAGCAGCAGTGAACACACGAAACAAGGAAGTGGAATTATTCATCTAGCAGACCTGTTGATCATACTGTCAAATGGCACAGGATTCAATTTCCAACCGCGGGCAACCGCACTGACATCTTCGTAAAAGCCAGCGAGCAATGCAACATGTCCTGGACGAGACTCAGTTGGCACATGGCTTGCACTTATACCCCAGCACCCCTTAAAAAAAGAATCATTTTAGATATGATATTTCTAGCCTTATACTTCATACTATTAACAGATGAGTTTCCTATACTTAATAATATTTTTTCAGTAGAATGCCCCAGAAAAAAAAAAATTTATTTGGAAGAGAAAGATGCCTAGCTATAGAAAAGTGAGAAGAATAACTGGCGAAAGAAATTTTTTATGTATTTAACAGGGCCAGAATAATTTTACTTTTGCCACAGTACTTTCAAAGAAACAAGTAAAATGGCTGCTAGTTGATTATTCTGAACTAAGCGAGGGGAAGCAAGATAAAATAGAAGATAACCAGCAATGGGAAATTTCCAAAAATTTGTTCAACGAAGGGCTGTCAAAAGGAGAACGACATACTGTATTGGTCCTGATAATCCTGTGCAAGAACGGCGACTTTTCTGGATGCTGGAAAAATACATCTGATCGCAATCCGTCTAAAATCACAACGGAAGAAAATTGTTTACCAAAACAGGCGATAATCCGATACTAATAATGAAACAGATATTCTGTTAGAAAATATACATGATTTCTTAAAATTTATTGAGGAATAGAGCACACCTGCAGAAATAATAACAAGTCTCTTTGCAGGACCGTCACCTTTAGTTATTGGATGTGGCTGAGTTCCTCGGACCAAAGGCGACGTGTAATAGATGTCAAATATAGAGTAGAGCAGAATTACATGTACGATAACGCCAAGCACAACCAATTTATGATGATTAGAGAACATGGCATGATTAGTCCTGAAGAAAAAGTATAAATCATGATACTGAGCTCGTTAACTTATCGCTACAGCAGAATGGCTAATATTGCCAAATTTTAACCTTCGCCATCAATAACCGCTCTGGCCTAACAGTTATCATTACTGCGACAAAATTGGTTTGTGATGCTAAAGAAATAAAAACAGAAGCTAACGACATACGAAACCGGTTATAGGTAACCAACAGCGACTATTGGAGGAATGAATGACAGCAAACTAGTGATGATCCTCGCGGAATAAGTAAAGGCCAAGAAGTGAAAACACTGAACATACAACGCGAAAAAATTTTTCACTCCGCTTAACTTTCTAAGCGTACAATGATATAAAATAACAAAAACGACAGGGTGACAATAATCTTACTGACTAACTGCTGTACCTTCTTTCTTGAAGGCAGTCCAACTTAAGAATACTAAAACCAGATACCTTAACCCTTATAAGACAACGCCATAACGAGATATGAATACGACAAGAGGGAAACATCTCCAGCGCTACTGGTTAGCGCACCAGGTTACTGGAGGAACTTCCACCCTAACGTTGCAGGTTCGAGGACCGGTGGAGTTGTGGGTGCAATGATGTGGTGAATAGGGATCAGTCTGTCAATCCACTGACAATCAGCTGATTGAAAAGACCCTTACTTGCTACAAACTGAGCTCCGTGGAAGTTATTACTCTGAAAACAGTTGTAGTTCTCCACTTCAAACATCTCAAAGAGAGAGATGTAACACGCATTCAGGTCGATTTTCCTAATTATGAGTAAAATAATCATTACGTAGCGGCAGTTGCGATCCATTGATAACGGAAAGAAAATTTACGACGCTTTAGGTAACGAACCCCACACTTTCGGACGCATTTTAATAGCAATATTACGCAGCCCTCTTAAATGGGTTTCGTAATTTTGCATTATCTGCTTTGCCATTCCAAAATTCGTCTGCTTACAATCTACGCACAAGATATTTTAACACACTGTAGTATTTTCTTAAGCAGACTGCAATCAAAATGACATAAGTACCTGACCTTCACTCGTATACACGATCTTATAAATTCATGAACTGATAAAAAGCCAGAATTAAATTGCACGCTGCACACTTTATCTCCAATTTAACTCCAATCTTTGCAAAAAGGCGTCTATAGTCAAAAAAAAATCCGTCTTTATGACGGAGACAAATGTAATAGCCATTTCTTACAACTTCATAAACGATAATAAACACAAGGATTTGAACCTACATCTGTCACTCAAGTCGCTTCAAAAATAAAAAACATTCTGAAATAACTCCAACACAAAATGCTAATTATTAGCTGCATGTTTTTTGATTCGAAAAACTTGAACAACGGACAAGAACAACACTAGCTAAACATTTGTTTCTGAAAGGCAGGCTGAGCACAAAATTTATCAAATTTGCTCATTTGCTCAAAGTCAGTTAAATTAAAAGTGAACGTTTTATACAAAACCCGTACTTTTATGAGGCTAGAAAGATATTATAAACTGTCAATATCACAATAAACAGCACATTTAGATGGGAGGCGAAAAAAAACAGTCTAGAAAAATAGAAAAAAAGTGATAAACACTAAAAGTTAGATGGAAAGGTAGAATCCTGCTGGTAATTTCCCGAAGAGTCCTTCAGTAGACATCTATATGATACAATAATCAAAGCTTTTCAAAGTCTCTTTAGCAACTTGTGGGTACCAGAATAAAAATCAGTAACTTAAAGATCTCATTTCAAAACTAGAATCACATTTTCGCGAGTCGAACAAGACGTTCAAAATAAAAAAGAAAAAAATCCTCACCGCTTTTGAGATTTAAAACATAAATTCATCAAAGATACTTCAATCCACTCATTACTGGTGGGATGAAAACTTGTTTTCGAAAAGTTAAAACACCTTCCACTACATTGCATACATTCACACTACAAAAAAAAACTTCTACGTGATCCAAATGGAGGAAATAACTTTCCCTTGTCATACAAACTTTGATATGCAAGCAGAACATGATGTGGCTTTAATGGTTCAGAATCTTCACCCATGTTCTTCTGAATATCCAATGCTGAAAAAGGTAAAAAAATAATGGAACAGAAAATCATTAAATTTTCGGAAAGCAGAACAAAAGAGGATATTTTTCCACTTATACTGAATGAAATTTCTTTTCACTATCCCAATGCGTCAAAGAGCAAATATATTACCTTCTTCAACAAGCTCTCCGGCAAAAACTTTTGCTAATCCTGCTATAGCTATAACGACATTTTGACCAGGAGTTACACCTGCTGCCTGATGAATCAGCTATAATAAAGAAACTACAATGAAAAAATGAAAAAGTTGTATTAACTATTCATGAATAATAGAAAAATAATATTATCTTATTGATGAGATAAATTTGTTTACCAGCATTAAAGGTTGACGACTTAAGTAACAAAAAAACCTTTACAAAAACTAAATTGTACCAATAGTCTTGAAACAAAATTTAATTGAAGTCAAGTAAAAACCTTTCTTATAACACTCTTCGGAAAAGAAGAACGTCGGAAGCATTCGTATCTAGCCAACTGTTCAGAGGAGAAGTTGGCAACCAAAACCCTAAAATGACCAGGTATATCACTTTTTAAAGTTATTACCATCATAAAAACTACAAGTCAAAAGGAAAGCGATTACGAAGAAACAAGACTTGGCTTAAATGAAATATGTGGGAAAATCTTTAAGCTTTACTGCCTATATTAAACCCTTTAAAACTGATGATAAAATAAATGTACTTATAAAAAAAGAAAAAAATTACTGCATCTTTTGACGCAATATTTCATCCTCTACGTTCAATTTTGTACTAGGCATGGCAGCTTCTATGTCTTCATCCTCATCTTCAGTATCCTTCGAGGTATCAGTCGGACTAGATGCTGACGTAGATGCCTAGAAAGTAAAAGTCATAAAAACAATAATCGTAAAAGTGAAATAGTACTTCATTTAGAAAAATTGAGGCGAAAAAATATATGTACCACTAAAGTACTTTTTTCAACACAGAGTGGTAGTTTAAAAACAAAAAGTGAAGTTTTTTACACGTAAATCAAAATACTTACAGCGACTCTTCGCAGTCAAAAAACATCCAGTAAAGAAAAATGACCTCAAGAAAAATGACAAGAAAAAAAAACATTACAAGAAATTAGGCAAAAAATTAATATTTGCCACTGAAGATAATAAATTTTAATGTTTCCCTCCGACTGCGTACATTTGAATTTTATTGACTATAAACTTTTTTTCGGCACAGAATGCAAAAAGCAAAATAAAAGCAGCACCCGAAAGTCTACAGATGACGGACCATCTTCATCTTTTACATCATCCGCAAAACGAACACTTAATTCTTTTTTAGACGAACTTCCGTTATCAGTCCTCACAGCTGACCCTTTTCTTGATCCAGAAGCCACAACCGCAAAGTCTGTAGAATCTAACTGTAAAAAAGATTTGTAAACAAAAGATCACAAGATCGTAAAACCACAAATGATGAGTCAACATCTCAAACAACAAGATTTAAACTCTGAAGCATCGCAAAGTAATTAATAAAAATAATCTTCTTCCAAAAGAGAATGAAGAAAATTACCAAGCCAAAAAGGGGATCATCCAAAAGCTCAAAGTTGTCATCAGTTTTCTTCCGTTTGGAAGGGGTCTCACCGCTTGTTGATGGTTCTAATTCGCGCTTTACAGCCTTTCCAAAATTGTCTGGCTCCTTAAATATAATTACCAGCATACCATGCAACATTTTGCGTCAAAAAGCAACTAGGTAAATGAGGAATGTAGAAAACTTTTTTTACTATTAAAAGAAATAGGAAGCTTAAAATGTGTTTAGAAAGGGATACAAAAGTGACTGTAAAACCAATTCAGCCGAAATAATACAAAAACAATAATAATAATGTTCCCATATCTTGATCAAATTTTTCTTAAGTCAACAACCTGTTTCTTGTTAGGGTTTGCACCAGTTTTATTTTCTGCTAGGGCAGTCGTTGATTTGTTGTCTTCCTTAGTGCTAGATGAGCGCTTCGATTCATCCTCACTACCACTATCACTCAACTCGCCTAACAAGTCCGCAATATCAGTCAGTTCACCCCAATCACCCATCACCAACTGAAAGAACGAAAAATTATACTTTTCATCAAATGACGCAAAAAAAAGGAAAAAAAACGACCAGCTTTTTGCCGAATACGATTACCTACCATCTACACAAATTTTAAAAGTATTAAAATATGCTCTACAAATAGGTACATAAAGTGTTCCTGAAAAGTGTGTACATCAGTCCTCCTAACGCGTTTGAAATGTATTACTTTCCAGAACACAGATATAGTATACTTTTAGGTTTTATCAAACTCCTCAACTCGATATATATTCACCAGAATATTCTTACCTCAAACTCTCACATTTATATGACAGAATAATATATGAACTCGTCTTCCTCAAATCCCTTTTATTGCTACTGCCTTTCGCTTACTTTTGCAAAGAGAATCCTTATGCTTGTAATGCATCTCAAAGTTTTGTTTATCAAAAAAAAAAAAAACAACCTTGGGATCACTGAGAAATTGCCATCTGAGTATAAGAACAGTTACTGAAAAAATTGCTGAGTAAACACGTTTCAAGGGAATTAAGATCTTTAGCGCATTCAAACATTTAGTAAATGAGAGGAAGACGAGCGCTTAATAAAAATAAGAGGCTTAAAATAAAATTATTATTCGCTTGTCCCGATACCCAGGGACGGCATAAATTCTAGTCAAGAAACTAATTCTAATTTTACTTTTACAAAGAAGCAAATTCTGTGTGTCTTTTCAGACTTTTGATTGCCAAAAATAATGTCCTCAAAAATGTACTGACTCTTATTGTACTCATTATCCTTGATGATAGTCTTAGACCATTACAAGCATACTACACTTTCTGTTGTTTGTCAACAGTGCTAGAGGCTGACATCATCTTTTCAGGAGAAGAACACCTCCCCAAGGAACTTAAACATAACAGAGGAATATAAAATCAGTGATGTTACTATACCAGCACAACTGAACGATAAAAATGCGTCGATAACACTACTCACGGAAGGACTATGTGTCATTGCGTTGAAACAATGCCAACGACAAAGTTCGTACGAGCTATATTTAAATGCTGCGGCGGTTGGATAAGAATTCTTGATCAAATCGACGGACCGTCCGTCTGGTGTAAGTTGAAAGACAAAAACGGTAGGATCAGTTGGTCCATGTTATCCTGTCTACAACTGATGGTTTAGGTTGGTAGTTGGGTTTTTGGTTGCATTTTTCACTGAAAACCGTCACCTGAAGGTGACCTTAAGTGACGTGATAACAGTTTTTAACAAGCACGAGTTCCGTGACCTAGTGAACAAAAGAGCTGGTACAGTTGACCTTTCAAAGAAATTTAGGGTTTGATTTCTCTTTTTTCTAAATCTCACATATTTCAGGAGTCACTATTATTAATGTAGAATAGGTAGTTTTACCGTTTTAAGGCATATTCGTAAAAGTGCCATGCACAAGACCTACCAAAAACTTCTCTTATACTCAAAGGTCTATTTATGAGGCAGTCAAGCACTAAACTTGAACGTAGTTATTTTTACGTTATTTTTACATTGCCGAGGGAATTGTGTCGTTGGGATGATTTAGTTATGTAAATGACTGTTGGCTTTCCCCAGAAACCGCTAAGAAAATCTTTCATACTAGAAAACGAGTTCAGTTAGACAGGTTGTCAAGGAAACATAGTGATTAACGGTAGAAGTTAGAAGCAATTATAACGTAGTTGCAGCAAGTAGCAAATGGGGAAAACCGACTGATTAATTTTTATCGCCTTACTCCTCCCTTTTTAGATAAGTATTCGTATTGCTACTGTAACAAAAAACAGTTTTACTATTTTTTTGCGAAGCATTAATTCCACGTACAAGAAACGAAAAAAAAAAAGAAAAAAAGAAGAAGAAATATTTGCCAATTTATCCTAGAAGGACAATTTAGTTTTCTAAAAGCTTACATAAAAGTACAATATCTTCAAGAAATTATTTAGTTTTGTTTCAGACCTTTAAGATATTTGTCACTCTTTTCTAATATTGTTGACAGTTTGCGCTTTCCACTTATGTCTTTCATTTCATTCGTGCATGTTACAGTTTCTTCTGTATTGCTTTCTTGTTTTTTCTCTTTTTTTTCGTGCTTTTCGTGATTGAGTAAAATATCTAATATTTTGCTGAGTTACCTGTGTAGGTAGAGAGACTGCTCTGCGAGCTACTTTGTTTTGGTTTTTCTATTCGTAACAATATAAGGGAAGTTAAGTTGTCTGCCTCGCATCAATCTTTATTTAGGTTTATTTCTCTAGTTTCATAATTTTCTCAACGTGTAATACTGCAATCCTCAGATTTTGCTGTTGTTCTAGTGTAGGATGAGGGTTTATGCTTTTGAAGGTACTCAGTAGTTATGACTGTCAAAAGTGTGTACGACAGTAATCGTTTATTGGCAAGAAATGAAAAAAAAAAAAGTGAATATATGGGGGTTGTTTCGACGATGAAGAAATAAGTGTTGGATATTGGAAGC